ATATTTCTTTTTTTACAATACGACAATAACGTTTACTTTGGATCGATTTCTGGCACCATGGTGTTAGGACGGCATGCCCCGATTTTGACACTTTTCAACGTAGACACGGGGAAATCAACTTGTAATGCAATAGAAAATAGAGAAACCATTGCTTAAATGATTAAAAGCACACGTCTTCCTTCTGGAGGAATATTTTCATTGAATCAGCATGATTTCCTCACATGAGGTGTCAAGGCGATCGTTAATATTAATGGAAGGCAAGCTCATTTTCTTATCAGAATTTGTGTCAGAAAATGTCGGTAGGTTAACGGAGCCATGTAAGAGATGATTTTAATCAGATTGGCCTAATCATTTCCATTTCATACACAGTCCTACAGTGTAATTTAGATAGCAATTGACTACCGCTCATGTTTTGTTATTACTCTTTCTATGGTCGATCTATTGTTTTCCACCGACGGGAGTGAAGCGAGGTGTGAAAAATTCACCTGGAGTGGACAGTTGATCACCTCGGGCGATGTACAGTTAGCCCGACCTATTGTTCAAATGTCCTGGTGTCAAACACGGACAACTTACCCAAGTAATTAACTTATAAAATCCATTCACGACAGAAAAGAATATTGTAATAACGGGGTCCAACCTTTGACCATATCTTAATAAACGATTTGTTTTGCTCAGTTATAGGATAAAATCGGTACATGGGAAAAGAATTATAATAAGCGACATCATAATAAGTTGGTCCCACTTTAGTACAGAAAACTCCTATAATATAGCAAAGATATATTTTCACAACATAAAACAGTAAATGTAGAAACACTGCGTTATTAAATTGAATAAATGTGTAACAAGTTTGTAACTAGTTTGTAACATACATGTCATTCAATCCCTGTCACACCGTATCATGTTTCATTAGTACTGATAAAATATCTTGTGATGTTCCTGTTTGATAGAGTAAATATCGCACTCCATCTTTTGACCTTCATTATTTGTAAACAATTCATGGATATTATCAAATATTATGTGTATTACCAAAGACGTATCTATTACAATATATACGTCTCTGCTAGTACTTCTTTTAATTTTATTTGTGTTACAAAAGCGGCACAAAATTACCTAAAATCTGACTGATTGGGTGAGTCTACTATTACATCTGAGCTTTGTGCTAAATCACAAATATGGTTCGACCCTACAAATAGACCGACTTCATTCAATTCCGGCTGATCAGGTTAGTCCAATGTTCTACTAAGGGAGATATGGTTTTGCAGAAATACAGGTAAACCGCTGCGGTGACCTTTGGTCACATCCAGCCAGCTCGCCTGCTGTTTGACAAGAAGCTAAAGTTATCAAAGCATGGTTAGCTTGAGAGTTCTTTCGTGTTAATGTATTGGTCCTGTCAATTTATTCTGTGACTATACTGAAATGGACAAAACACGTTGGAGAGTTTCTTAATTCTGCCGGAAAGAATAGTATTATTCAAGTGGTCAGTGGTATAATTTCAGGCTTATTTGCAGTGGTATTCTTTGTGATATAAAGCAAAACATTAGTGACCCAAACATTGTGACAGGAACTGTGTACTGTAGCTAGGTAGGAACACTACAGTAAGTAGGTCAGAGGAAACCATCCGCTTCGGGGAAGAGTGTGGAAAGCACAATTTCAGCAAGCACAGCATCGTTAGAAAATTAATCAGAATATTTTGTAATAATTGTATACTCACAAAATACATGCATTGTTGTATTTTTCATATACATATGGCTAGTTAAGAAAGTATTGAAGTGCATGCTTTCTCTGCCTATAAGTTGGCAACCACAAAATGGCGTCACTATAGTATGAATGAAAATGCTAGGGGTCGCTGCCAAAAACATTTGCATATGAATGAATGACATCCATATAAGGAGATATCAGCTGCCATATCAGGACAAAAAGACTATATATAGTCATAGATGGCATATGTATCGATAGTGCAGTTCCACGTTAAGCAAATTTCGTAGTATGCACGATCCCCTAGACACTAATGCGTTACCAAACGCATGTGTCAAAAAGGACATTAGACAAACAAGAACACATCATCTTACCTCCGAAGTAGCCTCCCTTTTCATACCTCTTTACTTCTAATTCTTCACTGCTGGGCTCACTCTGAAATCAAACAAACAAAATTTAATAATAGATATATCTTGTCTTATGATAAAATGAACCAAATTTATTGTGACACAAGTTAACCCAATTTAACTCAATCCATGGAGATTGGTCTCATATTAGATATCCGATACATAGGGAGTAAACCTAATTTATTAACATATAACTAGACTTAACTTGAGCATGGGCTTCACAAATACCCCATCCCACCCTATATCTACAAAGTTTGGAGCCTCATTCATAAAATAGTGGCTAATTAAAAATATGCTGTAGATACCTGAATTACACTTAATTTAGTAGTCAAGGTCATGGTCAAAGGTCAAATATAGGTAACAGTGACCTTGTTTTAGGATGTGACACGTACTACACCGCCTTCCTATGATATACCTACAAAGTTTGATGCCCATTCATAAAACAGCAGCTGTAATGGGCTCTGGAAACCATTTTTTGAGTACTTGAGATCAACGTCTTAGGTCAAATTGATGTAAACAAGAATTACGAGTAATTATATGTGTCGCCTTTCCCGCTTTGTCAATATAATAAGCATTTGACATAGCACATAAGGAAACGGACCTTAACGCAAAATCATAACATTGATTTTTTTAAAGTCCATAAATTTCAGGTTTTTATCCGAAAAAGGACAGAAATCTATGATTATTTATAGAGTAGTAGGCTCTACTACCCATAATACATGTATGATTGAGGTTTGGTTGGTCTAGCTCTTATACTTTGTCAGAAAGAGCCTAATATGCAAGAGCTAAACGCAAAACCTTAACGTTGAGGTTTTTTTCTAAGTCCAGAAATTTGAGGTTTTTAGCAAACAAGAGGCCCAATGGGCCTGCATCGCTCACCTGTTATTAATCTAACACTTGTAATCTTAAGATTTCATAAGAACCTATTAAAAGATTTAAACACATGACGCCTCTGACCTTGATTGTCGAACAAGGACATTAGGTTGAAAGTGGATCAAGGTCATTCATTTGAACTAACATGGTCGTCCTTCATCCCAGCATGCTACAGGCCCAATTTCAGTACCCTGGCCCTTTTGCTTATTGAAAAGAAGTCGCTTGAAGATTTTACGACATTTGACCCCTGTGACCTTGAAAGTTGGTCAAGGTCATTCAGTTGAACAAACTTGATAGTCCTTCATCCCAGCATGCTACAGGCCCAATATCAGTACCCTGGGCCTTTTGGTTATTGAGAAGAAGTTGTTTGAAGATTTTAAGACATCTGACCCCAGTGACCTTGAAAGTGGGTCAATGTCATTCATTTAAACAAACTTGGTAGCCCTTCATCCCAGCATGCTACAGGCCCAATATCAGTACCCTGGGCCTTTTGGTTATTGAGAAGAAGTCGTTTGAAGATTTTATGACATTTGACCCCTTTGACCTTTGAAAGTTGGTCAAGGTCATTCATTTGAACTAACTTGGTAATCCTTCATCCCAGCATGCTACAGGCCCAATTTCAGTACCCTGGCCCTTTTGCTTATTGAAAAGAAGTCGCTTGAAGATTTTACGACATTTGACCCCTGTGACCTTGAAAGTTGGTCAAGGTCATTCAGTTGAACAAACTTGATAGTCCTTCATCCCAGCATGCTACAGGCCCAATATCAGTACCCTGGGCCTTTTGGTTATTGAGAAGAAGTTGTTTGAAGATTTTAACATATTTGACCCCTGTGACCTTGAAAGTGGGTCAAGGTCATTTATTTGAACAAACTTGGTAGCCCTTGATCCCAGCATGCTACTGGCCCAATATCAGTACCCTGGGCCATTTGGTTATTGAGAAGAAGTTGTTTGAAGATTTTAACATATTTGACCCCTGTGACCTTGAAAGTGGGTCAAGGTCATTTATTTGAACAAACTTCGTGGCCCTTGTTCCCAGCATGCTACTGGCCAAATATCATCTTCCTAGGCCTTTTGGTTACCGAAAAGAAGTTGTTTAAAGCAAAAAGTTGACGCCGGACGGACGACGGCCGGACGGACGACGGACTCCGCACCATAACATAAGCTCACTTGCCCTTCTGGCAGGTGAGCTAAAAAATACAGAAATCATCAAAATGCTAGCGAAATGCTAGTCGCAGGCGACACAAAAACCACTAGCCCAACGATTTTCAGCTTGGGCTAATGACTTTTTAAGGATGTCATAACTAACAAAAATGCTTTTGTTCTGTTCTATCATCATGGGGGTGTAACCATTCAACATTCTAACCTATAAATTCCTGGTAATTTTCACTGCAATATCTATCGGAACACATGCAGTCATTCAAGCTGAATTCTCCAAAAGTTGGCAAGTCTGCCATGTTTGTTTTGATGCGAACTGATGTGAAACCGGTATCCAGACTGATTTTCAGGAAGAGTTAAAACATTCTTTTTTTTGCTAATTTTGATTTTAGTTCTAGTTTAAATGATTTTAAGGCATTCAGTTATTAACCCTTAGGCTGCTACATTGATTACTATGTAAAGGGACGCCACTGCTGAATTAATTATTGAAATATAAATTAATTTACTTAATTTTTCAAATGCACATAACTTGAAAAATATTTGTTATATGTGAATAAAAGTTTTAGGAAAATTGTTCGTTATTGTCTCTAGTTTATATTAACGTTTTCAATTCTAAAGTTGCTCAGTATTTACCTGTACAGGTGGTAATAAAGGTAAGAAAAGGTGAAACTTTTAATTAATCGGATTTAAGCACCAGAAAGATCATTTTAAAATTGTTTTTGTCAGCAAATGTGATTGGAAAATGATAACAGAGATTATAAACTTCATTTATGACATAAGACGCTGTACATTTACACGGAGATTCTCAGGTAAAAAGGTCAGGTATTTCATCAAGAATTGCATGCGATTTGCTACAAGTTTCAGGTCGTCATTCAATATAGTTATTGTCACAGTCGGCATATAGATATATCTTAGCTACGGTCTAGTTTATGATTAAATCATCGATAAATAGTTTGGAGAAATCAATCGGCTCAAAAGGTATCAATGTCAATGTTCAATTCGGCCTCACCTGCAGACGACATGTGCGCCTCGGTCCGCCAATATTTTCCTGTTTACGTAGAACACAAAGCCGTTCATTGGAAAGTTACATATTATGTTACACCGAAGTATTTCCACATCAACCAGGTCAAACCCTTTAAAACCTTTATTATCATCGTAGGTGACGCTGGAGAATAAATGTTTACCATCATATTCATCACTTCAATCTACACGTCCGCCATTTTTATCACGTTTTTTTCCGATTTGAAATTCTCTCGCACACTTTGATTATTACTAGGGTACATTGCCGGGAATATCGAAAGAAATGACAAAACAACCAATCAGAAGCCTTCTACTATACTCTTTCGGGTTTGGTATAGCAACAGTCCGCTTTCTGTTCCTGTTTACTGATCAACAAGAGGCCCAAGGGCCTTAGCGGTCACCTGAGTTATATCATAGGTACTGGTAGCTTTATTTTATTGTTTAGATGTGATGTGGAAATCAGCATGTAAACTAAGTGAAATACAATACTTGTCATGTCATCAAAGGATAAGAATTTGAAAATATTTGTAAATGTTCCCTTTGGGGCTCCGCTCTAACCCCTGGGGATGGGGTAGGAATTCCAAGTTTACAATGTGATACCGTCGTCCACCAAAGATGATTCTGACCAAGTAAAAATAATTTCCAACAGAAAATTGTCAAAATATACCCAAAAGTGTTGTTTCCCTATATAAACTATAGTAAACTTTACCCTCTTCCCAAGGGAGAACGGATAGCTCGGGGGTCCTGAAATTTACAATTTAAATAAAGCCCCTGATGATGTTTCCATCCATACAGAAAAATTATCGTAATACCTCTGAGTCTGGAGAAGAAGATTTTTGAAATATTGGTTAATTTTCCCTTTTGGGCCCAGCCCTGGCCCCTAGGGTTGGGGAAGGAATCCCAATTTAACAAGAAGTTGATAATGTAAAAAGTTTACGGACGACGCACGACGGACGACGACGGACGGAAAGTGATTGGAAAAGGTCACTTGAGCAAAGCTCAGGTGACCTAAAAACCTACAGACCGCGCGCCACTATTGTGGTGCGTAGCACTGACGGCCTGACTTTTAGAAACGACTATTGTGGCGCGTAGCAGCGTAAGGGTAAAATAATGATACAATGTAGTATATAATTTATTTTGATATTTTTTTTTGAAGGAAAAAATATTAATCTGTGAATGAGATATAGATTGTGTGATCATGTTGTCAGCTTGATCCATTTTGTATTTGTTGGGCTAGCAGAATTTTATTTCGAGCTAGTGCATTATTAGTATCCTGAAAAATATTTTTTACACCCCTGCACTGCCTTCCCATGGTGTACTCATAAAACAGTGGCTAATCAGAGATATGCTCTGGAGCAAGAGGCCCAATGGGCCTGCATCGCTCACCTGTTATTAATCTCACAATTGTAACCTTAAAAGTGGACTAATATAAGCTACTGGCAAAATATCAGTGTCTTGACTTCAAGTCATTCAGAAGAACTTGTTCAACGATTAAAACACATTTGACCCCTGTGAACTTGAAAGTCAACAAGAGGCCCATGGGCCTTAACGGTCACCTGATATATTTATACAGAGAGTTGATTTCGTTTTTAACATGAACAGAAATATTATTCAAAGTGACAAAAAACAATAAAACCACCTTATTCAATATCAAGCATACAGATTTCAGACTAAAAAGGATTTGAAACTAGCACCTCTGATTCTAAACAAGGAAAATGAAGAAATTTTAGCACACTGACTCCCTTGAGCCCCACCCTACAGCCCTTGGGGGTAGGGCTGGCTCAAAATTTTCAAAGTATCAAACTGTCAACTCAAGGTTATAATTCCAATCAAGTTATTAACATGTAATATTCAAA